TTGAGATATTGAGTTACGTACATATATAATTATTTAAAATTATGATAACAAATTGAAATGTATAGAAACTTTTGGAGCATTAATATATGTTTTAATCAATTAAGTTTGTGAATGTATGTTAATCAAATGTATTAATTTTGCTACTTGAATGAATATCTATCATAATATAACTATGTATGTAATGTATGATTAAATGATTTTATCTTTTACTTAGAATTTTGAATTTAAATCTGATGCTAATAAACATAATTATAATACACTGACCTGACAGGAATTGTGTGATGGTTTTCTCTGAGATGAAGATTCTCTTGATGAATTTGATGATAATTTTAAGGGATGTAAGATCTATAGACAGACAGGAACAAACATTATTATTATAAAACTGCATCTACAAATGTATATTTAAAAAAGGCACGCAATAATGCATAATAAATGCCCTTTTTTTAAGCAAAATTTTAAATAAATTTATCGGACTGTGACCATTTACAAGTTATCTCTGACAGTCCATTTGCACATTGGAATATTTTTAATAAAATCAGAAAGATTTACTACACACTGGAATGTTTTTAATAAAATCAAAAAGATTTACTGCACATGCCTACAAGAAGTAAACATCTATTTTATATTATATTTATGATTTTGATCATATATTTAAAATCTTTCCAAAATTAAAAATTTGCAAGTTTCCTTCGTCTAGTTTAACGTCTATTATAAATTAAAAACAATACTATTTGATTTCATGCACATATAAGATAAGTAAAAACAAATTTACGTTTGATAAATAAAAATTCATTATACATATTATATAATAAAAATTTTGGGGCAACTTTAAAAGATCATAATACATATAATTGACACAATCGTATTTTTTTTTCATTATATATATGGTAACAATCGTTAAATTAGACACTAATGTCGAATAGATACTCACCTCCCCACTACTCCTATCGTGGTTGGTCCTGTGTTCTGAATCCCTGCTCTCGCGGCTTCTCTTGTCTTTTAGGGATCGTGCACAATCTACACATATGCAAGCAAGCATGTTACAGCTGAAAATGTTAAGAGACAATTCTGTTTTTATACTGAAGAAAGGAAAGGGAGAGATTGGGACTCTAGATAAATAAAAGAAGATTTGTGTTACTTCATAGACATTACCATTGATACAATTTATAAGATTGTGTTCAATAATATTTTACAGATTTATGCTTTCTCTATTAGGCAATTGTCGAAATATACGAGCTTGCTCTGTGCGAGAAAACGTTGAGAACAGCAAAATAAAAATTATTTACCGGAATACTTGTCCCTAGAGGAGGATAGTTTATAGTCTCTATTTTCTCTCTCCTTCTTGTAAAGAGGCTTGGATGTGTAATTCCGAGGGCTGTCCCGGTCCGTCCCCATGCCCATTCCCAAGCTGCCGGCTGGACTGTAAGAGTTACCATTTGGAGAGTCGCGCATTCGTCCCTCGTAACGACTATCCGATGACGTGGTCGATGAGGAATAGCCACCCTTAGAACTGCTGTACTTTGCGTTCTATAATCAGATTATTAGCGATGTGTTTTCGGCATTTTGCATGGCGACAAGGGATTGTCTATAAATAAACCAGATACATCAAGATTGCTTACTTTTTTCATTCTGAATATATAAGATCATTATTAAAAATGCTACTAAATATTATAGGCTCGATAACCCACTTGAGAATAACAGATTGTCTTGATCTAGTGGCCTTCTGCAAGAATGTATGTGTGAGAGCTTTATATATGACTTTGACTCCAATGACATGGAAGGGAGTTTAAAGGAGCATTCAAGTATTAAATATTGAACAATATTAATATATGGTATAAAATGTTGAACAATGTTATGGTATAAAAATGATTATGATTCTATGAGATCTCTGGTTCTTCTGTCAATATAATATTCTGCAGAATCACCTCCAAAAAATACCAATTGCTCTTACCGTCACTATGTTTTGCATCAATTATGCAAATATTATATTTTTCTAAACTAAGGAATAAACTTCTTGTCACCCATCCGAACATTCCTCATTCCAGTAAAGACTCTACAAACGTATTTCTCAGTTTGTACTGCAAAAACAGACGTGTTAAGTACGCCAAATTTTTTCACAAGTATAAAAGGAGAATCTATTATGCTACTGTGTGACTTGAGAATTTATCATGTTTATAGTTATATCCGAGAATGCAGGACAAAGTGACGCAAAAGCCGTGAAAACGTGAGAGGGACTGGAATAAGATCCTTACCGAGATAGGATCTCAAATATTTTCGGAGGATTACCAGCTAGAATAAATTATTGATTTTTCGAAAAGTGAGGTTATGTTTACAAGACCAGCAGGAAGTTATTTCGTGGCGGATGAAAAAAATCGAACGGTCCAGCGATTCAATAACCATTCTACCCGTCTCGCCTGGGCCAATTTGAGTATCGAAAACCTATATGTTGAATCGTTAATACCACCCAGCAGCAGAAATGATAGCTTCAAGAGGACAAATATATACCAGTCAATCAATGAGGGGGGCAGGAGATAACTCTCTTACCACTAATTACGGTTACAACATAAAATTTATCGCTAAAAGTACCTCAATTATTCGCATTATTGCGGCGACGCGTTCGACGGAGGGAACGCACGAAATATTGCCAGCGATCGAAATGGCACTTGTCAAAGTCGAGAGTCTTCTCGCTTCGTCGGACTCTCTTCGAGCGCACGGACTCGTATCCAGTCTTACGCGTAATAACAGCCAAATTACCGACGATTAAGCCAATCGACGATCGTCCGACGATGGTGTTTCGAGAGTCGCGCCTCGGACCTGGTGAACGAACGAAGTTCAAGTCCCCGTGGCCGCACGCGATCGCGGGGGCAGGGAAAAATCGGCGCGACGACTACGAGCGAGATGACAAAGACGAGCCCGACGCGACGGGGGGACGTGCACAATGGAGCAGACGATCTCGCGTAGCGCGACGCGTGAGAAACGAGAGTTTCACCGACGCCGATCGTCGTTCTCGCCGCGTCTCGGATCGTCGTCGAGCGTGCATTATCGATTCCCGTCCGCGACCGCGAGTCCTGGGGACCCCCCTCCCCCCCCCCTACCCTCCCCCTTGGTTGTCGAAAAAGAGAGCGACGGCGAGCGGGGCCCTCCTGCCCGTGGCCCCGCCAGCCGAGGTGTCGAAATACGAACTTTGGAACTCCTTCGCGAGGAAGAGTGCTGTCATCGCGGTTGGGTCTCGTCGTGTCCTCCGCGCAAGAACCGGAGCGATCTCATCTTTCTCCGTCTCTCTCACTCTCTCTTCCTTCTCCACGGACGTGTCGCGCGGGCAACGACGCGGAACCGCGGGCGAAAATAATATGCGTGCTGCTCGACGATGACGATGGCGATGATGATGACGGCGACGACGATCGACGACGACGACGACGACGACGTGAGGCTGCTGTCCGCCGACGTGAGAAACTATCACACACCCCCTTCCCCACCCCCCCACCCTCATCCCACCCGCGCCCGTCCGCCTTCGTAACTCTAGATCCACCAATCGCTTCGACGGTGGTTAGATATTTACCTGATAGGGATGGGCCTGGTGCTTTTCGAAGTACCTGGAATCATAAGACAACGGGCCGTGAGCGAGGGAGGCTGTGGCGCGGTGTCCGCCGCCGCCGTCGCGGTCGTTTCCACGGGGAACGGCACCCGAGCGGATCCCCATCGTGGAAACACTGGTCGTGCCCGCGGAACGTCGTGCGGCGGATTCGTGGCAGTGAGTGCTGCGATGCGTGTGTACGGTCGAGCGGGTCGTATGGACGAATGGACGGATGTCGGGTGACGAGAGGTGAGGCGAGCTGGTGCGGAGAGCGAGAAAGCAAGCGAGAGAGAGAGAGAGAGAGAGAGGGAGAGAAAGAGACGAGCAGCGAGAGGGAGAGGAGAGAGATAGAGTGAGAGGGAGAGAGAGAGATTGGCTGTGTGTCAGTATCGGGTATTTGACGGTAGAGCCCTACCCATCGCTGATCCTTTGCGGTTTCCTCGCATGCATTACCATCAATGCCAGTGTCTGTGGGAAATTCGCGGCCTCGGATGTTCCCTTTTCGGTCGGTCAGTGTCATAAAAACAACATTAACGCTTATTTAGCAGTTAACTTTCTTTCTACCCGGACGCCATGTCACATACGTGCTCGGCCGCTGCCGGGCGACTCGAACGAAACGCTCGCGCGACGGCGTGCGCGCACCCCGTCGGTGGGGGAGCTCCGCTCACGTCCAGGGACGTGAGGCACGAAGGTGCGCGCCGGATATTGTTCAGTTCCATAAATGTGCGTGTATATATGACATACGTATATACGCGTGTATATATATTATATATATATACATATATATATATATATATGTATGTGTTACGGCACCTAACCAATCGTTTTTGTAAACGCTAATTTGACAGGAATTCACAAGATTTGAATATACGATATGCCCGAGAGAATATACTATGCGCGGCGGCATGTGCAATGATTTGCATCGTACTTCTCGTACTTCCGGGAATCCATATCTCTCGCAGGAAACGCGTCTCCCCGTACGCGGCGCGCGTACGAGCCGCAAGTTTAATCGCGTCGATCCGTCAATTTCCCGCGGATATCATTCCGGGAGAGTGGCATTTTTGTTGAACGGAATTGAATTTTGACAGTATCCTCTGTAATATCATCCGCGCGCACCTCCGGCACACCTCCGTCGTCAGTTACGTACAACGCGCGGCGCGGCGCAGCGCGGCACGGAACGGCACGGCACGGGCACGTCTTCGCGAAAATCGGCACCACGGCGGCACGCACCTGATCCCGACGGCCGACAGTTCGCGCACAGGGCGTGCGCGCGCGCGCGCACGCGCGCAACCTGGACCCACGGCCGGCGTCGCAGCAGGCACGGACGCGAGGCGTCGGGCGAGCTCCGATATTCGCGCAGCCGCGCGACTCGCGAGCAGCTAATTTCGCTACGTGCAAGTCGGCCGGTAGACGGCGCGTTGCGACGCAGGCGGCCGAAGCCGAGCGACGTAACGGAGCGAGCGAGGCGAAGCGTATCCGGCGTGTCATTGTCGTTGACAGCGATTAAACCACCATTGGATATTAACCCGTATAAGCTACCTCGCCTCGAGAGTTCCGAACCAGCGGCGGCGTCTTCTTGGAACCGGAACGGGAAAGTTGGAAGGGGAGGTGGAAGAAGAGAGCGATTAACGGAGCGGAGCACGAGCGTGTTCTCCTGTCCTGCGCATTTAACGGTTTCGCGAGTCTCGAAGATGCCGCAGCAGCCTCGCGAACGACCGATTTAGCTTGCGCTCGGTGGACGCGGCGCGCGGAGGAAACGGCTGCGTCAGGCTGTGCGCGACAAGTGCGCTCCACCGCGATCCGGATGCGACTCGGAAGAGGCACTCGGCCAGGAAGCAAGCCCGCTCAACCGGGAAGAGAGGCCCCCACATTGACAGGCCCACACGACACGCGAAGAGGACACGGCAAATCGTCGTCACGTCGCAAATCCGCGACAAACGCCGTAAGACGAAGACGCCTCTCCATCCTTTCAGATGATTTCAGATCGTTTTCCTTGTTTCTTGCCGCGAAAGAAAAAAAAAACGCGACACTACCGCATAATTCTCTTACAGGAGCACATCGCGTGCCGCAATGATATTAATATGTCCGTACATGCACGATATCCCGTCACGATATCCGGGAACCGGAGAATTGTTGACATTCTCTTGCGGCACTTCAGATATATTTCTATCATTCATTACTCTAATTTCTCTTTTTTAGTAATTTAACTTTTTCATTAATTATTTAGTAATTTAACTTTTAATTATATATAACACGAATTCGTGTGACATGTCACTCCAAATGTTTGGTTTACATATTACTTTTTATTGATATTATTATGATACAACTAAACTCATACGTTTATATACTACCAAAAATATATAGAAAATCAATAGTTTTTAATACATTATTAATATATAATAATAAATTAAAATGACAACAGTTGAGAAAACTTTTTAAATATGATACCTGATACAGAAAACTTTTTTTTATATATGTAACGAGAAACAATTATATATTTTTTTATACACTTGTACAAATTTCTAATTATAATAGTCAATAATTATGTCTTGTCTCTTTCAATACTTTACTTGCTTGATGCAAAATACTTGTCCATTGAATAAGGCATTACAAATTTCATTAACATTAAAATACATAATTTGAAATATTAAGAATTGATTATTGTGTCGCATACATGCCACTGGTCATTTTATAATTACAGAGAATTTATGCCGTAAGCTGCAGAACTACAGAGGAAGATATCGTTATGGATACGATTTCTAGACGTGAAAGTAGTAAAAATACAAAGACATGTTTCAAAAGTCTGGAAGATGATCTAAAACACATCAGATTGGAAGATAATAACAAGATTAAAGAAGTCTTTCCATGGTTACCAAAATTCAATGAAGATTTACATTCATGCGCAGGAAGTAGAAATTATCAACATCTCGAACGTTTACTTTCGTTCTACACCCAGTAAGATTTACAACAGTTATCAAGATCCAAATCAACGTTCAATTATTAAACCTTTTACAAGTAGAAATTTCACATACACAAATTGGATTTAGAAAAGGTATTATACATATATATATATAATTTTGCCATATTTCAGGAATATTCTTTCTAGCATAGCAGAAAAGCGCACTGTCAAATTTAGAGATGAAATTAATTTGACGAAAAATCATATTAATAAAATGTTAATATTCTTTCATTTGTATTGGCTTGATATAAAACAGGTATTAATCTTAATTATTTGTTGCCGTTTTAAAGAATTAAGTATAAACATAGTTGTTTATCTTTTATCTTTTCTTTCTCTCTCTCCTTCAGGAGATAGCTGATCATACCCAATATTTAAATAAAATATCAGCTTTGTTAAATGTGTATATAGACATGGAGTTGAAAATTTCCATGGAAGAAAGAACTTCTAGTCACGATTCTTCTAAAATTGCTGCAAAGATTCTTGCAGCACTGTACATATACTTAAGTAAGTGTTAACGAGAATTGATTTTGAAAGAATTGATGTTGCAAAAATTGATTTGACCTGACTGTGTCGATAAATAGTTGTATCTAACATTAAACTTGTTTACAGATAACTCGGAAGAGCATATTTTCAGGGTATTACTTAGAATTAAACACACGACAGAAAAATATACAAAAGTCTGCAATCATATATTTACGTACGTAATTTTTTTTTTGCAAATTAAGTTATAAATTTATAGGCGTCAAACAGTATTGAGATAATACAGATTATTATGTTCCCTTTACATTATATTTCCTCGCAGGAAGAGCTTTACTAATCTCAAAACAAAGACGACGTCTATAACCGATGTAGCTTATGTAAGATATTTGCTCGCCTTTAAAATGTGGAGAAAAATGGAAGAAACAACAAAGAAGAATTTAATTCTCAAGAAGAAGTTAATTCTTTCCGACAAAAAGGAAAGAATCAATAAATTAGCTCTAATGCTGCTAGGACCGCGTATGCCGAAATTGCAAGACGAATTATTGAAATTTGTGCCTAGACCACCTATGGGTCAAGAAAATGAAACACTATGGCTAATACAATCAAATCTATTTGATAAAAAACAAGTTCATAAACAATTCTTATTATTCGAAGACAAAATGGAGAACTCTACAGATTTAAAATGTACCAAAACAATTCATGCTGATCAGAATTGTTCAAAGTCTCAGGTAATGATTACCTTCGTTTAATTTAATTTTTTGTTTCATCCCCCAAAATTATGTGTGAAGGTCTTTACGTTGATTATTGCAAATTTCAACGTTTGGGAAATTGCTTTTTCAGAAACATCAGACGGATTCGTTATTTCATCGGAGCAACTCTAATATAGATACATCTGAACAGAAAATAAATAAATGCTTAAATGGTTTGCGAAACAATAATACGCTACCAAATAAATCTTTGGATCAAACTTATCTACAGAAAAAGGGATCAAAAAGTCTTAAATTGAAAAAAAGAAGAAAAAAATCAAGAGAAACTATATTAATTGATTTAACTGGGGATGATGAAAAAACTATTCCCTACGTAATAGAAAGAAAAAGAACTAAACGAAATTCGAAATGTTTGAAACTCACGGAAAACATAAAAAGCAAAAAGCATATGAATTCTTCAAAATATTCAGACACGCTCGTGAATGTCAATATTAAAGAATGTCCTAACGAAAACAACAAAGGATTTAGAGAAAATGTTCATTTAGAGTATAAACCTGCTTATGAAATTAGTGACAGTACAGAGGATTGTATTTCAGTTAGTAGCAGGTCTTCTTTACATGATTCCTGACATAAACCAAATTTTCAATTTCAAAATAATGATCATCTAAACGTAATAAAGAATCAGACGAGTAATATCTGTCCAGAGTTTGCGAAAGAGGATGAGAAATACGATTACAACTTGCATTATTTGAAATCACCGATGTTTGTCGATCAGAATACTAATGAATTAAAAGCAAATGTGTGGGAATCGAAAAAAGTAGAAAATGTAACTAGTTCTTATGACAATTCAATAACACAAAATAAGGATGCATTAACATCTCAGGAAGAAAGTGCCACGGAGACAATATCTTTATTCAAGACGTGCCAAAATGATATTGCAGATCAGCATTCTTTTAAGCAGGAATTACCAACGAGCATGAATTGTGCGATGCAGAACAAGTGTTGCAATACAATGCACGATATTGACTTTAAGATAATAAGTAATTTAAAGTCTCTAACTGATCATAGTTCACAAATTACAGAAATGATAAAGCAGAAAGTATGTCAAGTTAATAAATGTCCAAATTGTTATACAAAAATTGATTGTAAATCATTATTTACTGACATTACCGCGGCAAAAACACAAGAGAGTCTGCATAATACATTTAATGACAATGAAAAGGATATCAAATTAGCTTGCGATATGAATATAATGTACACAGTAAGAAATGACGGTAGTAAATGTGTTTATGTTTTGAATCATATCGATGAACACGCCATGACTGTACACGCTGAAAAAAGAATGCAACGTCTAGATAAATCTGATGACAAATGTACTGTTTCATCTACGTTTACTGAAGATCAAATTGTAGAACTACCATCGTATAATCAACATGTCAATAATGTAAGAATAAATGACAATACCGCTAAATATTCTGAAGCTATGATAAAGGAACAACAAAAACGAAGCGATTGCGATTCTTCTGTATTAAACGATCGATTACATTCCTTAGAATTCAGCATATTTGACATTAATTCTTTTGACATTGGTTCAAATGCAGAAGTAGATTGCAATCTGAAAAGCTTCCCAAAAGAAGCTGACGAGATAACGAACAATTATATAGATGACTCGGAGCCCAATTTCTTAAATAATATCCAAAGTGAAACTCTTCTGGATGATTTCTTCTGGCAATCTTCCGAACAGCCCGATATTAACTGTGACAATTTGACCGGTGTACCACTTACGTATACGGACTATGATCTTGCTATAATAGAAGCAAAAGACACTTCGCACAATTTATTTGGTAATGACGAAAATGACACCAAGATATTTTACGATAAAAATGTGTACATGTGTACGTCCGATCGTGATAAATGCATTTATGTGAAAAATCACACTGACGAGCACATTGTAAGTACGAGCGCTGAAAAGGGAATGCAATATCTAAATAATTCTAAGGACACATGCACTGTCTCAACTACATCTACCGAAGATCAATTTGTCGAGTCGTCATTGGACAGTCAGCGTGTCAATTCTGATAATAAAAGAAAATGTGACTATGAAGATACTCCCAAATATTTCGAAGATACGATGAATGGGCAACAAGGAAGAAATAATTGCGATACTTCAATGTCGAACGAACAGTTACATTCCTCTGAACTTTATACTCTGGACTTTTTAGAAATAGATTCAAAAGAGGCTAGTGAAATAATGAGAACTGATTGTATAAATGACTTTGAAAATATCAGTTGCTTACATAATATCCAAACTGAAACTTTGGATGATATATTATTGAATGACACCACTAATTTCCTACCTCTGAAGCAGTCTCTGTTCGAATTAGACAATGTATATACGGATACATCTTTAAACAAAAAAAATGTCTTGTGCAATAATCAAAATAACGCTATTGATAGTAGTATAGATTTGGTAGCCTCTCATTTAAATGCTGATAACACCTTTCTGCGATTACCAGCAAAATCTGATAAATCTGTCAATAAATCGTAATAAATTTCACCACACAATGCCAAACATCTCTGTTAACTAATTCATCATCGCTCTTCTCTGGGCGTCGAAGAGCCATGGAATTTCGATACTTTCCCTGATAAGTTAAATAACGATGCCTGAACTAATGCTTTTATGTTTTGCAAGAAAGAAGCTGTTGAAGGCTTTCATATTCTGGAAAGTAGAATAGATCAATTTTTAAATGAATTCTATATACCCGAGAGTATATATATTTCAACAAATTTGCTAACAAACCATTTAATTTTACAAAGCAAAAATTCTGTCTCAACATCAAATTGCGTAAAATATGCATTTTCGTCCATGGATGATTCTGGTCTTTTGATTAAGTTTCAAATAAGATGGTTAATTCGAAATATGGATTGTTGTACGTTTGTAAATGCTATTGAGTCGCAAACTATCGGATGTAACAGATTATTTACTGAAGAAACCATAAAGAAAGAAATTATGGAAAAGGAATTATGAAGAAAGAAATTATGCAAGAAAGAAAATACGATAATAATAAGAAAGTATTCTAATGTTCATGAAAAATGTCATATTAAAAAATCTCCAGTCTCAAGAGATGTACTACATCAAGTTTCAAAGGTTTTATATACGTCTGGATATATCCATTGAGACCTACCGCCAACAAATCGCTTAATATCATAAAAGGAATAATATGCTTGAACATCTAATACAACTGTATAACATATAATTTTATTTTGAATGAATCTTAATAGCAACTTAAGACTAAATCACAATGATTATAACCGAGACCATAGACCATAAGATAACAAATATCATTAAGAAGTAGACTGTCAGATGTATCAAATTACCACCATTGAAGAAACACCTAAGAAGAAAAAAGAAAGAATTGTATCTATAGTTCTGCCTCTTTTAAATGCTAACAAAATTGCCTGTTCTCGATCAATACGGTGTTCGAAAAAGAGGTTTTATTTTCTACAATAAAAGGTAACTTTAAATCTATATTTTGATATATTTTTTGAGATTATTATATGTTATTTATTATATTTATAAAATTTGTAAAATATCACAGAAAAACATCAAGATTACACATCTTTGAAGATTATCATCTTTCTACACCACAAAATTTAAAAAAAATTTTGTCATTTACTATAGAAATATTTGCAGAATTGCAGAATTAATTTAAAAAAATTTTTATAGAATACTAATGTGTGATAAATTAAAATGTAAAAGTTATTCATCAATGAAAATAATATATATCTAAGATTAGATTGAATATAAGACTAATGTAATTATGTACAAAACGTAGATGTAAAATATTTAGAACATTTTGATTTTTTAATTTGATATTTGTCATGAGAAACAAATTAAATCTTATTTGTCATAAAAAATTAAAAACATTTAATAATTGATATAATCATAATATTTAAATCACATCAGTTGAAGATAATTAGAAATGTAATAGTGTAAGAAAGTAATGCCTTATTGGCTTGATAATTATTAATTAGCATGCCATACTATTGATCATCATGTAATACTTATACTCGATTTTTTTTTATTTTCAGAGCTTGCATATACAGAAGAACATGAAAAATAATGCTGTGGGTGAGTATAACATATTTTATCATGCAAAGCCTTTCTCATTTAAAAACTCGGCAATCTCCATTATAATTAAAATTTTAATGGCAAAAAACGTAGTTATCAGCTTCTGATCGCGAAAATTTATGTTACATTTACAAGAACATTTGTAGAAACATATACATCTAATATTTATTGATAGAAATATATGAAAAAGGCAATTGAAAAACGTCAGTTTTGAACTAATAATGATAATAGCCTATTTATAGATTAAATTATTACTTGATATTTCGATCTTTTATCGAAATGTTATTTTCATAAATAATATTTTTCTGAGTAACCTTTTAGAGAGGTGACGAGTTTTGCAATGAGATTTTCAATATATTCTAGCCTTTTGTGAATCGATTTTCCTAGGATATGAATATTCCAAATTCAAATTATTTTCAAATAAGATGATTATATAAAAAAAAGTATTTAAAAAATTATATATGCTTTACTTTATTTAAATAACGATTAAAGGATACATAACAGATCTATGATGTTATCTTTTATATTTTGTAAGATAAAAACAATTGATATAAATTGTTAAGTGTAGTAAAATTGGATCATACAAAGGCTTAATATAATAAAGAAATTACGTTTACCGTTTACATTTGTTTATTACAGCGTGATTGATTGTCATTTATGATCCTGAAGAAGTCGCCAATTTTTAACTACTTGCATAATGCGCTAAGTCTCGTAATTTGATGATAAAAATAAAAATTGGACATATGATATTGAAAATTATTACCATCATCAAAACTTCCAAGTTGTTAAATCACAACGCGATGTATTGTTGCCATCTAGGGGAGATTCTGAGTTTTAAAGGTTTATTTCCGAATTTTGGAATTTATTATTCCTGTGGGTTGCATAAAATGTAAATGTCGTACATAATTTTTAACAAAAACATAAAAATAAGAATAAATTTGAACAATTCCGTATGAAAAAAATTTCCGCGTTGGAAAAAAAACTAATAATGAGAAGAATGAAATAGAATAATGGCGTTTCAAACTAAATATGTATACTCATTATATAAATTGTTAAGGATTTTACGAATTTATCAAAAAACTTAAAAACAGAGCTTATTATTGTTGCAATATCAAAGCATTAATATTTGTGTAAAAAAATTAAGAAAAAAGTTAATTTATATATTTATTTTGACCGTTACATCATTATTTGTATAATTAATTTTTTTTTATTAATTTTTAAAATTGTTTTATTTTTTTATTATTTAGTCATTTTTTATTTTATATTTTTGGATTTATTTCGTTTTGACAATTTATATAATGAAACTTTTGATGCATACTTAACTTATTTCCTTTTTTTGTCTCCGGTTTAGAATGACCGTCTAGGTGGCAATTCTAACGCGATATAAATCTCGTACAGTTATTCAAACATAATCTATAAGAATAGGATTAGTCTGTACAAAAACAGCTCTTTTAAGTAATGCTTCGTTATGATTATAGATTATTGTATCATATGGTCAAGAAGTACTTCTGACAGATTTTTTTTAGAGATATGTATTTTATGTATATATATACATATACACACACGCACGTATATTATTTTATAGTTGCATTTAAATATTAAGTAAATATATGAATAATGCGAAGTACGTGTTAAAGAGAAAGAGAAACTAATTAGTAGTAATCTTATTTACCCTGAAAAGTTAAATTTCTGAGGTATATTTCCGAAGTTATTGCAGAAGTAGATTTAATAGGAATAACTACTAAAAAAATTTTATTACCCGGATTATTATATTTAAAGAAAAATACAAGATATTTTACCTTAAATTTTACATAGGGCGGAAATAATTAATGACAATTATATTAATTATTGAAACTAGAAGAGACTGTGCTTTGAATATACTACTATTTAATATAATCCGGAAAATTCATAGTTTGATAAAGCCACATATATACAAATAAACACAACTAGTAATAATTTCTATATATTATGTATAACTAGTATATATACTGTTTTCCTGTGGTTTTTTTTTAGCTTAATTGAATTATTAGCAAAATAATATGTGTACAATAGATGAAACTGAGTCGCTAAATATTTTATTGTGCGCATTTATTGCTATTTGGCAATAAAAAGACATTTACTCTCTTATGTAATTTATTTTTACTGCACTTTTCTCTGACATATAAAAATCTGAACCAAATCATAATTTGTATAAAGTCTTTTTATTTAGCTGTTAAATAATTATTTTTATTAGGTAACTTGAGATATATTTAAAGAAACAACCTTATAAATATTATTCTGTGCATAATTATTAAATGAAGAATTCTATCTCATCAACGAGGTTGACAAATTCTTTACAAAGAAGAATCCTATGACATTTAGTAATGAAATGTTTAATCTGTTATATATATTTCTCCTATTGATATTAAATGTAGAGACTGATTTTATGATACCTTATATTTTATACAAGTAGGTAAGAGAAACCTCTTGATAGGGAGACCTACTATTATTAATATTGAACAGTATTTTGAAGTTTGACGATGCTATTATAGATTATGTAAAAAAAAAAAAAAATTATTTAAGTAACAATTTTTGGTGAATAGTTTCGATAAAGCAAATTTAAAAAATGCGGTTTAAATACTGATTTAAGTTCAACAAATCATCGCAGAATCGCAATTTCGGAATTCGCTTTGTCTTAACTAAAAATTTGATAGATAAAAAATTATTTGTTATTGTGAATCGTTAAAAATTCATGTAGCTTTGCTCGCCTCGCATCTGACATCGTAATAAAAGATGGCAAGAATCTTTAAGAAAAATTACATTCTCATTTTCTCACATATTTTATTTTTTAACTATAAATTTTATAAAGTAAAATTAGAAGGTCCATACTTGGTATATTTTTACTGTAAAGATAATTTATTCCTTATATCAATTTCCTGATTAAAATCCTGATTGAATATAAGTATTCTTTTAACAATAAAGATTTCGTACTTTTAGCGAAATAGAAACAATAAAATATAATTGTGTGTAAATGTTTGCAAAATAGATAGTTATTTTAAATTGCATGTGTAAAGTACGTTGTATAAATTGTAAAAGAAAATATTTTAACATCTCCAAAGTTGTTTATACATAAGAGTATATACATAAAATGACTATAAATTGAAGCACATGTTCTACACTCTATATGAGTAGAGTGTGTATGAAAATTTATTCCGTTACATACCTCGGATATTTTATATTATAGAAAAGTTTATTTCACACATAACTGAATGGACACACTATATTCTAACAAACAAACAAACAAAAATATATATATATACTTTAATTTGAAAGATTGCATAATTCAAAGTTTACAACCAGTAGATAGTAAATAAATGAAATATATTCTCTAGAATGAAGTTTATCCGAAAGGAGAGGGATATTCTTATTAGTTTTATCCTAAATGAATACAGTGCCCTAATGAACGTATATTTAAAAAACTGCATTCGAATATATATTTCAATATGATACATTTCAGTATATTACTAAATAATTATTACACATAAATAACAAATAAATATCAACTCTTACACAAGCAATAACATTGCTTCGTCATAGAATCAATGATATTATCCCATTTGGTGAAGATTTATTTTCTGGGAATAGTGCAATGGAAGCTTTAAAACTGTTTCCTTTATTGCATTATATTGTACATGTTTTTGTTGAATGTACATGTCAGCGGTTTAAAACGTAATTCTAATCCTCTTCTGCAAATTTTATAGTAAAATGTTATTTATTTACAACTTTATCCTCTAGGCCTAAGAACACAGCTGTATCTTTTTTTTCCGTCATTCTTATATATACAAAATATTTATGTAATAAATACTGTATGTGTACTGTGTAAGGAACTTCTATCAAATTTGTTAAAAGAAGTCAGACCTGGTTATGTTCATATGCATAGGAGTTTTGAGATAATATACAAACTCATTATATGTCTATCAAATTATACAAATTGTATTATGTTATATTTCTTTGTAAAGTATTAATATGAAAGGCAGAATATGTTTAGACGATGCTTCCACACGGTTTTAAAATAAGTTCACTCGCTTACCGCTCATGCTGCGTAAAATACTTAAGTATGCAGTTAGATTAATAAAGATATAATGATATTTAGTCGAGTACTTTGTGAATCATGTAATACATCTTTCCTAATTTTATCGAATTCAAATCTTTATGTATGAACTATTAATATTTTTTACATGAAAGTGTTCATAAATCTTCATGTATAAGTTCAATAATTGTATATATATATATATATATATGTAGATCTACGATAAATTAATTTTTCGATATTAATTGCGTTCTATGTGTAAAAAGATTGTATTGTGATAAGTTAAACCCACGATGTACAACAATGCAGAGACTGAAAAAAAAGAAAAATAAAAGTTCAATTTTTAATACATTCGAGTTATTCATTTATTACGCGCAATAATTACGTACAAAATCAATTTGAAAACTCAGTATTCAGTTCTGGAAAACATTACGGTAATTTTCTTCAAAAGAAATATACTATTTTTCGTTAGAATGCAGAATTTGGTATATGCATGATCGTTTAATTACTACCATTTTAGAAGCATTCAATACATTTTCTCTCACTATGTATATTTAATTCGTAAATACTTGTTTTATTATCTAGCATAGGATATAGAATATATATGTACGGAAACTGATACTGAAACCTCGTTAATCTTGTTTGCATAGAAAAGTAATTGCAATACCTATAATATACATATTTGGATGTAACCAACATATGTCTAAAAATATATTTACAATCAAATCTTGGACGATGTTACTATTGACGTACAACAAAAACGCTTCACTAAAATTGAAAGGAAAAGTTGTGATAATTAGACACACTTGTAAAATAAATGAGTGTCTGATTAAAAGAGGTACCTGTAATTATGTGAACTAACGAACCTTGTAAGCTTGCCGAATATTTTTTTCGCTTTTACCCTGTTCAGAGGTATACTATGTTCTATTTTTAGTTAATAAGTATACATACTTATGTAAAATATAATGAACCTGATGCTGCAAGCATCAAAAGCATATTAATATTTTACCCTGTTGTGTGAGAGTTTCTAACATTTCTATTCTTATTTCATAGATAGGTATTAGCGATGAATCTATAGTTTCAGTGAGTATAATATAGAAAGAGGTAAATATATTATTTCCATATGTGCAGTATATTCACCTCGATTTTATGCAGTCGACATTTTTATGTAATGCACATAATGTACAAATATAGGTAAATACAGGTTTATTTATCATTATACGAAAGAGACGTTCTACGCATACACAATACTGAATTTTTGATGAACACGAATTAATGAGGCATCTGATGTAAAGTTTACTATACTAACTTGATTAATGTTTAAGACGTCAGACTTTCCTTAATAAATGCTTTATGCGTACAATAATTTATTTATGATTAATGATCTATTTATATTCGATCCATATGTATGAAGACTTTTGGCAATTTTGATGAACTAATTATTTATAGCTATAGTAACTTATAAATTTGTGTTAAACTTAAGCCTATCAGACTTATCGCATTGTAAATTAATAAATAAATAGTAACAATAAGAATCATTATCGATAATTAAAAAGACGCGCCTTTCAGTCAAGTGTAGGAAATATAGTTTAAAATCTAGTTGAAATTATTGAAAATAAGGGAAATAGTACTGTGTACTAAACATAAGAGGTACAGCAGTCTACAATAAAAAAAGAAATCTAACTACAATCATTTTTACGAAGACGAATAAATGTACAACAATGACAAGTGTGACAGTGACAAGTAATCTATCAAATAGATTACTTAACAAGGTACATTTCCTTTTTGTACAACAAAATGTTAGCTACTGCTTAGCTAATGATCACAGATATGAGATCAGGTATAGGGATATGGCACTGAAGTTATGCATTACTTGAACCAAATCTATCTCGAAATAATTAAACGTAGTTAGGACATTCATATTAGAATAATATAGTGATGCTGACTGGTTCAGGTTTAACACAGGGATTGCAATGTGACTTAATTTGTTCAGATCAGATACACATCATAACAAAGAACAGAGTTTAATAGTAATAGATACTCTGAAATCATTAACATAAGATATATAAATATAGAATTGAATGAGCATGAGCAATTTTTTCCGCATAAGAACCATTTACAATATAATATATAGCATTTAAAAAATTATATCGTTCTCTTAAAAATTTACCTCATAAAATTCATATTAAATTTAATATAATTTAATTAAATGCCATATATTAATATTAATCGGTTCTTAAAGCAAGATTCCAGACATATGAACTGAAATACTAAATAATTACGTAGGAACAAGCTATACGATGCTTGCTAGTTGTAAAGCTTTTTTATCTTGGTAACTATCGATATCTAAATTGTGCATTTTTCCTTGCATGCCTCAGTTTCATTTTATTTATCAAGCTCGATTAGGTCATCTTATTTTTTAGAATACGTAGCTCGTGTAGCCCTCGCGTAGCTCGCGTTTTAACGAAAGATGGACATTTATAGTATTACAAGAAAAATATATGGATTACTTTCAATTACGTAGCATACTATCTCTTCTTTTTTTTTCAACGGGACCTGAAATTTCTTGTTATCGTACGAATCGGTTGACTATTCTACTTATTTTGATAGGTACCTGTATATAAGTTTATATTAAACAATAGCTTTTTTTCCTTGATATAATATAGGGCTGCATCTCTATATAATAAGAGGACAGATTATAAAGTGGAAGAAATTAAACATTTCCAGTTTTTATAATTGTACGGCAATACAAATAATTTTGCACCATTTGGCGAATTTATTGACATTATGTGCTTGCATTAAACACTTGCCCGAAGTTACTCAAGTATAAGCGGGTAATTAATCTGAAATACAAGACATACGCTATAAAATTATGTGTGAAACCATACATGTATCTTTTGAAATCATTACAAATCGGAAAAAACTATTATGATCATTAATTAACTACGAAATATAATATTTAAATTTTGTTATCAGATATTAACGATACACATGATTACTGCAGAATTACCTATGCAAACATGCTCCTGGTACGTTGTGTATCCTGTTTATGTTCAATGAAAATTTGGATTTTTAAATTTTATACACTTTTAACTTTCAATCGTCAACCTGGTCTTATTATATTCCTGAATCTAAATTTGTATCCTTCAGGAACCTGGAGAAAAATTCATATATAATTATCATCATAAGTTATTCGTGCAGAATAAAATATACCTAGTAATAACATATCCGCAGTTTTTTTACTACTCTACAACTGTAGTAGTTGTAAAGAGAAATAACATAACAATATTAATAATTAATAACCTATGTAAACATATTTATACATATTTTTTATGTTTGATTTTATATCATTTTCTATAAACATTCTTTACACAACAAACACAAGTCAAATGAACATGCTATTTATAAAATTACCTTACCTTAAAAATGATATTACTTCACAATGTTTCCATCAAATAAGTTTCTGTTTGGCATTGATTATGTATGTACACATATATATTTATATATATACATATTTATACGAAAAACTGTACAGAAACTTTAATTTTATTTTACAAGAATTGAAAAGAATTTTATGCTTAAGAAAATGATAGTTTGCGACAAACGTCGCTGCAACCGTGACAATAGAAAAACATTAAAATTTAAATATTATCTTACAAAGCTTTATATCATTTACAATATCACAAGGGTAGAGAGAGACAATGTTTAACCACAGTTTAGACATATCCAGTTACGACAGCCAAAAATCAGAACGCATGAAATTTCAATGCGCGAAAAGCGCAACCAACAACACAGCAACATCACGTATATACTCCTACTAAGTTCGTCTTACTACATATTATCTTAGCTTTTATGCTAAAAGCGTCGCTATGATTTGACTTGGCGTTTTCAAGTGCTTCAATAAAAAAAAAGGTCATAATTTCCTAACAAAAATGTCATCTTTACTTGCTAATATTTGCTTTTTTAAAAGAGGCAGTACAACGAAAGCATGAACTAAACTTTCAACTAATTGTAAGACAAGCACAATATTACGAGTTTAAATGTTAACGAATAAAGAACGAAAAGAGTAATTTAACAACAAGAAATATTTTATTCAATATTAATGCATTTCAAATAATTGATTCAAGGAATAATTTTAAATTAAATACAAAATTGTGTTAATCAAACGAAACATCAAATAAAACATTGTAAAAAGAAATAATTGATTGGAAATTTAATTTTAAAACAAATATTTTCAATTTTATGATAATTTTATCTTAAAATGTAACGTTTTCCGTCAAAGATGTAATCATGTGACCGCAAATCACATCAAAGTTGACATATTGTCGTCAACTGGGAACATCTAAACTATGGCTTAACGGAATAAAATTCTCTACAACTTGCTTCTAGCGATATCTAACCAAACATCAAAAATATTTTATGCAGGAGTCTTCTATATAGCTAATCTCTTCGCTGACGCTAATCTTGAACACGCTGCTGAACAATCTATCTCTAAATCTTCCTAGGACGAGTTATTTTCGCTTCCGCTTTGTACAAATATTTACAGATTTACAGTGCCACAGCTTGAAGAACACATTTATCCTCTATACAGGTTGCTTCCACTTTCGGTCTTTTTTTTTTTTTACAGCAATGACTTCTCGTAATGAAATAGTATTGATCATCGACTAGTCTTCTTACGTCTTCGTTTTGACTCACCGGACGGATTCCATTCTGGATCAACATCGGTGTAACAATAATTTACCTTAGGAACGTTTCTTTTTGAGCTTCTCGTTTGTCTAATAGACGACTGCGTTTTCTTCGCCTTTTTACACGCGCTATCCTGCTCGATCGTCTCCGTTGTCATATGCTTCGGAGATGCTGCATTCGTGACATCTCTGTGCTGCGCAAGTGTCCTGTCCTGACAGCTTTCCAGGCACACCGCGTTAGACTGATCGCTATTCGGTCGAAACTGGCGCTCGTGATTTCTTGTACTTTCTTTCGTAAGATTATGATGTGTATTAGAGATGTGGATATCTTTGCAGTAATCCCTTCGCACTATACTCGAGTTGAAATGATAGCTGCCGTGTGGATTATCCTCCTCGTTGGGGGACAACTCGTATGACGATTTAATCATTTGCGCTGGATGTTTCTGTGTGCCGTCTATCGTTTCTAAGGCTGCTATGGACATCATGGGAATTCCAGGATAGTTATCCAATTTCTCCGTCTTGATGGGCACCTTCTCATACGCCATCGACATCATGGCGTGCGCCTTCAATCGCTTCTTCAGCGGCAACTTGTTCTCCATATCCTTCTTGAATAACTTCTCCGGCGGCACATCCAGCTTCTCCAACGTATTACTTTGTAATACTCTTTTACGCAATATTTGATCGTCATATAATTTACTTATTACCGCTTCGCTTTTTGTCCTATCGTGCTCCTGGACGGCGGATGTTTGTACTGATGAATGTGTGGGCAAAAAATAAGAATTACTTTCAATGCAAGACACGTGGGAGTCCGTGGCAGGGTGTATACACTGTCTACAATGCGCGACTAGGTCATACGTACAATTTAGACATGAGCAGTGCGATCTCCCGCATGAATTAGCGGATTTCGTGTGGGAACGAAGCGAAGTAGTGGAATTGATCTGTAAGCTGCACGACACGGAGGTACAATGCTTGTGATACGGCATACACAGATCTGTGCCGGCGGCGCAGTTCCCGTAAATCGAGGGTATTGTCGTGGGATGGGTGACCGGAATATGTAACGAATGCTGCGGGTCGATCACTTCGTGCGGATGCGAATGTATTCCGTTGCACCCCTGTATCCCACAATTCGGCGCAATATGATTGCTGAACTCTTGCTTAATGTTCTGCCTGTAAGTGAGAATCGACTTGGATTTTCGTTTATCGACCGACTTGCTGATGCTCACATTCGCGACGTTCGTGTCCTGATAGATCTGCGACGTCGCGGGTAACACGTCGGCCGACAATGAACCCTTCTTGCCGTAAGATTTCATTTCCGTGATGCTCATCAAGCTGCTCTCCTCCTCGGGCTCGATCTTTATACCTTTGTTCCTTCCGACGGAATATTTATTTTCTTGGCACGATAATTCCTTGTTGTATTGCGGCATATCCAAATTAAACAAAATATGCTCTGACGTATTAACAACTTCGAACGATGCGCAATCTTCCGGCGGGATCATCCAGTTCTTCTCTTTAATTGGACAGCTCTCGTCGTCGCTATTGTGATCCCTTGCGTTTTCCACCGCTTTATTGATGATGTATAAATTACTATTGGGAGACTTTTGTAAGAGCACGACTGTTTCACCGTTTAATATAACGTTCGTATTCTCCTTTATTGACTGCACATTGTTTTCCATCATACTTAAATTGTTAGATATTGTGTCCGTTTCGTAATTGAGAGTAGTTTCAACAATATGCGAAACGCTGTCGCTCGGATCGCTTTCGCGATCATCGGGATCAGTTGTCGATGTCACTTCAACATGAAGCGCTACTTTGTCTAACGCGTCCTCCGGGTAAATTCCAACTATTCTATTAATTACCTCAGCTGTTGGATTCTCCAAAATTTCAGAAACAGTATTCGATGAATCATTAGTATCGGCTTCGTCATCATCGGTAGTTTGATTACAAGGAGAGTTTCTTAACGACGCGTAATCCTTGACTTTGATTTGTTCATACCTTAATTCGCGTTCGGTTTTCAAATGCGACACATGCTGACTCGCGATAACATTGGCTAATAACGAAAGCCCATCTATGTTATCGTGCAATTCTGAATCTTGAATGATACATTTGTCCTCCGACGAATCCTGAATATTCTTCGTATGCGATATCTTGTATGATTCTTTCGGTGATTTATCATCATGCATTTGGTCAACTTTTTTGCACAGTACAGAAGATCTTCCTAATTCCTCTATATTATGTTTCCTACCACAATTCCTGTTAGAGTCGATTTCTGCGTTTTCTTTATGATCTGCTTTCAGGTCGATATCTTCCTTATCAGTCGATACTTCTTTGACTCCTTCTTCTTTTGAACACAGTGACATATCGAGGATATTAGAAATATTTTTATCAGCTGTGTGATTTTCAAAAATAGTTTCTCTGATTTTATCATTAGAGAATCTGCTATCTCTTATATCGTCGCTTACTTCGATGCAAGTACCAACTTTTAAATCTGTTTGTACATTAGAATGGTCTCCATTCATTACACTAATACTTACAGTATTATTTGCAACATTGTGACTTGTTGATACAAATTTTTCTTGAGATTCAGGTTCCTGCGGATGTTGTCTTGTATTTTCAGTAATGAATGATTGTTGCAACTGGTCAGATTCTGTTGCATCATTTATTAATATTTCCACATTACTTACAGTTGTCGTGGTACGAGTTTCAGCTGCTGTCGTGGAAACTGCAAATTTCTCTTTACTTAATTCACTATCAATTGTAGTTGATTTCAAGCACTGTATTTCATTATTTATCGCTTCACGGATATTTTCCTGCATACGTTTCTCATTGTTGTCACCAGAATCTTCCATTTTTTCATTATTTGTTTCATTCTTTGTGTTTCTGCAATGCTCCAGAGATGAAATTTCATGTGGGGATAATATATCTTTAGTTGTACTAAGATAGTTAGTATTATGATTAGAGCTATCATCTTCATCTTTGGAATCATCTTGGGCACATATCGAAGGAGGAATATTTACAGTTTTAGAGTGCTCTGTTCCTAAATCACAGATTTTCCTTAAACTTTCAACTCTTTTACAGGTTTCACTTTCAGGCGGAGTGTCTTGTTCTATCAGTCGTTTAATCACAGTCTGTGCATTATGCCTATCGTTTATTTTTTCATTATTCTTTGCTTTCAAAGTATTAACATGACGTTTGTTAACTTCATTAGCGTCATTCGAAATATCCAATAACGAATTTTTAGAAACTTTAGGTTTATTAGACTGTGGTCTATCAACGATTACAGAAGAAGAGACTGTGCGACGCAGCATCCCAACAGTTTCACTTTTGCCATTGCTATTCATGTCTACCGATTGTTTTGTAGATATTGTGTTACCATTGACTGATGTATTTTTATGTTTTGCATCAAGATGTTGCATCATTATGGATTTTATTTTTTCGTTATTTAACTTCATATCCTGTTTTATAGATGCGCTCAAATCATTCTTCAAAGTTGTATTTTCTGTGACATGTACGGGTTGAAGCAAATCTTCCAATTGCTGATTAAGAGTTATTTTTTTCAAAGAGTTTACATTTTCCGCCATTTGTTGACTCTTAATCTTCCGTGACGTTCTTATCGCCTTTGCGTCAAGTTTCTTCTTAGCTTCTTCGAGCCATGCAACTTTTCTCGATTTCCTTTTCTTTATACATCGTTCGAAAGCGATGTCAGTTGTAAGATCGATTATTACAATCTTATTAGATTTTTTAGCCTTCTTCCGTGGAAGCACTTTTGGTTTCATCGATTTAGAGATAGTACGTGTTACAGAAATATTTGTAGAAATTGTGCCTAAAGGTTTAACATTTGTTTGCTCTGTTAAATTTGAAGACTTTAAATTATTTGACAAAACAGAATTATTTTTTACATCTTTATTTGAAGAAACAAATTTATTTTCGATACGGTCGATATTTTTATTTTCGCGTGATGTTACTTCCAGCTAAAAATATATACAACTCATTATTCCTATGTCAGAATAATTTTATTTTTAATCCAGTACCTTTATGCAAATTCTTTCATTTCTTAACAAAAAAAATTAAACTGTATATTAAAAAAAGTTCTTCTATATTTTACAACTCTTTATATGTACAACTTTTATTATTATTTGTTACATATATAAAGCTCTACTAATTATGATACATACAACAAACTAAGGATTCTGTATAAAGATTTTTTAATAATTTGCATAAAAGTTTTCACTTGTATATCACATGTTAAATAAGATTTAACATAATGTTTAAAACAAAATAATTTTTAAATATTTAAAAACATACGATATTTATAAGAAACATGATAATGATAAAATACATATAGAATAATCTACTGTGACACTCATTAATAACTCGTTAATAACTCATTTTATTCAAAAGCTCAAATATTTGCACAATAATGAAGATATTTTCAAGTATCAATGCTATTCTTAAATAATTCTCTATAATTTTAGATATAGCTTTACTACTGTACAATAAAGCGCAAATTTCGGAAAAATTTGATTGATCAATTTTAAACATTTTTTATTTAAAAATGATACATTATTCTATTGAGACTTCTCTCTTAAAGTAATCTCAGGAGTATATCATTAACGAGTGTCACAATAAGTCTCGGTCACTATGTACGTACCAGTTGTAAAGTCCTCTTGGACGAGCTTGGAATTGTAGATGCATTTTTACTTTTTTGCTGCCATGTACCTCCTCTGCTTTCTCTACAGAACTGTATAAATAATTCACAGCATTTTCTTATGTCAAATTTCTGCTGCATTAGATATTTTGCTGAATTTGGTTGACACTTTGGCACTTTCGGTAATACATCTTCTAACACGCATGGTGGGAAAGCTGCTGGTGGTGCTCCCAGAGAGGCAATTGCGGTTGTAATAATTTGACTTTTCACGGCTATATCGCTATTTATCTTTCTCCAAAGACAATAAATAAGAAGATAACGAATGTACATAATATTTGATTCGGGATGCGGTGGAATATTTTTAATTACTTTTCTGAAATCAAGTAATAGAAATAGATATAGCGGTATGAGAAACTTTACACACATGTAAAATTATATTTAAAAAATAAGTCTTTAAATATATTTCAATCTTTAATATCAATTTTTGGAGTGAAAACTAAAATCTATTTAAACAAAATTGCACAAAATACATTTGTATATAATAAAGAACTTTGAGATAATCGTACAATATAAAAAAATTAATTATTTAAACATTAAATATTTTGAATAATATATATAAATCTCTATGTAACAACTCATTGTTCAATAATAATCAAAATAATATAAAGCAAAAAAAATGTCGATAGTTTTAAATTAAACTCCGTTTAAATGTTTACATTAAATTATATACTTACGTTATTAACGGATCTAAAATACGGTGATAACCCCGGCACATAAATTGTATCTTTATCAAAGTATCTAACAAATGCTCTGTGGAATGTTCTGTATAAAATATAAAGATTTTATTATTACTAATTAAATCAGTTAATTTAATCAAATTAAGTAACATTTAAGATACATACCTAAATATACATAAAGACAAGAAGTAAGTCTTGTACAAATTCTGTTATGATCTTCTTTACTTTTTTTTGAAGCTTTTAATTCCATATCTATGTACAACGCCAATAAATCAGACATATTATTTAAGTAAATAGATCTATTACGGTCCTGAAAAAAAAGATAAATCTTGTTTGTTTAAATTTGAATAGCGTTACTACAGAAAGCTGTGTACAGTGAAAAGAGGATTACACAAATGTGATATAATATAATAGGCTGCTAAACTTACCTCAGAAAGCTCGCGATAGATATATAAGAACAAAAGTAAGGTTTCACTAATAGAATCCTTCAACTTTGCTGCTCGTAAAGACTTTGTATAACATTCATTCACATTGATACTTACATTTCTGTAATAAAAATATAACATATACATTTGCTGCATAACAAATGTATAATATTATTGTAAACGTAACACTAAACACGTTTGTGTATATACTTAATTAACTTGGATTGTGCAGAGAATGAATAAATAAATATGTTTAAGCACATTCACAAAAGCAAATAAGTATGCGTATATGTAAGTATATAATTTATAATGTACTAATCTATAACTCTTAACATACATATCATTTATAATTATCTGGACAAACAACAAGCACTGACATTTTTTTATAATGCGCGATATTAGAATTTAAGTAGTTTGTGACATTTTGTAAAATGGAAATGTGTTAATGAAACAATATGTTTTCAATAAACTCTTTGTGCATTTGTAAATTATGTTGTTAATACATAGATGATTAAATACTTTCTTTAGAATTTTTAATATTGCTTGTATAATAGATAAAACAATATTTTTTTGACCTTCAGACACTATCTGATTAAGTAATTGAGAGGGTCAATGCAATAGCGGGATGACCCTCAAGATCAGTTCAATAATGATATCGCATAGAGGAAGTTGTGTGTGTATGTAACGCGAGTAGCTAATAATTTGCAATTTAATTAAAAAAAGCAACAGTAAATTATTAAAAATGAGATATTCAAAAACTAATTACACTACAAAAGTCTGTTATTTTATATTGTCGCTATATTATCACAAGAATTGTTACACTATATTGTCATTCAATTTTGAATTATATATTATTTTTTATTTCAAAAATTCATTAAAAGTTTGAGATCATTATTATTTTCGCAATTGAAAATTATTAAATAACATTTATCGCCTCTAAAGCAATTTTTAATTTAAATTGTGCGTAACTCTCCCCTCCTTTATTATAATTTTATTACAATACAACAGCTATTTGTTGAAATAATTATCTTTTGTAGAAAGATTATTTTGGAGAAATACGATATTATCCGAGAAAAATATATTTTAGCAACGCTTCAATAAAATATTAATACCATAACATTGTTCGACTGGATATAATCTGATTAAAAGTTTTCCAAAGTTGTTCAATAACGGAAATTTCACCTTTCTCACGCAAATAGATCTGTTGCTTATTTTTAGACAGAAATCAATTATTGCTACACAACGAACGTATGTTGTAACACATGCAATAGTATTATGACACCAGTGCTCAGAATAATAATACTGGTGAACTGCGTGTTATATGAAATAATGAGTGTGGGATTACCTGATATAGTACTGCATAAGCTCTGCCAAAGAAGCCATACTTTTGTCTGCGTATATACATTTGCACATTTTCTTAAATTCTGAGACCCATGGAAATAACTCTATAATTGTTGATTTTGCATCGTCACTGTTTAGTTTAGACCCTCCTTCATTATTAAACATTGCGTTTTTGATATCTAAACAACAATTCAGACGTGCGAATCTTTTAACATGTTTCAGTCACAATAAGACACAAAAGAGCGAGTAACGAACAACGCGTTATCGAGAGCGACGAAGGGCGTATCAAAACATAAAATATCGATAACTGATAAAATATCAAGGCTACATTCCAAAACATTGCTTTCGAGGAAAGTTCTAAAAATCTGTAGCATACGTAACGTGAGCTACAGCTTTTCAGTAAAATTTTCCCTCGAAAGCAACGTTTCGGAATGTAGCCAAAATATCTTCGTTGCGATTAGAATATATCGTATTTTACCGATTACGGAAGCGCTTTTGTTCGAAATGGTACCACCGACTAAGAAATCGTCGTCGATTTTAACGGTCTTGGAGAAAGCGATTAATTGCCGATCGATACGGATGATATCGTGCCGTATATAATCCGATTTATCGGAGTTAGCCGGAATCTATTAGTAGAGCATTTCGTTCAACCAAGCATTTTAAAACGCGGAATTTGTCGCGTCGATTAAAGAAAGAAAAAAAAAAAAGACGCTTTCTCGGCGATGTTCACAAAAATCGACAATTGTTACATCCTCTTAAGTAATTCACGCACGTTTCCTAACTACCCATCATTTTCTTACAACCCTGACCATTCTTAACATCTGCCGCGGCAGGTGCCGAGAGATAGAGACAGAGAGGGACCCATGAAGACTATAAATTGCCCAAAAGCCGGTTGTATATTTCTGTAACGTTCACAGCTGAATGCCACGTTTTCCGAGCCGTTTCACTGTGTAGTTTCGAGGGGAGGGCGAGACCGAACTTTATAGCCTCGCTCGCATGCCTTCGAAGTCACCATGAAAAACCGACTTTTAAAACTTCTGAGACTCGTACGGCCGTTTTCTGAAATTCCTGAATTGAAGCCGCATCGATCGACCGAATTCACGAATCACCAGCACGAAAGCTGACAAAAGCGGTGTCGTCGTAGCGAAAGAGCGGACACATCGATAGTAAATCCCGAGGACGTATTGATTGTGTCTTGGAAGGACGTCAGGCGACCAGCAAATTCGTGGAAAAACCCTCGGGCACGTTCGCTACTCCCCGGCGTAATTATTCTCAGGAAGCCAGAATACACAGCAAACGGTTGCGCTGCAGTCGAGATGTGCGTTAATTCGGAGCACGAGACTGCCGATGTGTCTCAAACAAAAGCATTCTCGTTTTCGTTCGTAGAACGAAAACGCGCGGTCGTTCCCTCATCACACGGTCGACGCACCACACTTTCCGTTTTTTTCGAGTCACGTCCTCGACGGCGTCCTACGCGTCGTGCCGCGCGTCGGCGTCGAAAACTTCCAAAACTCGGCTCCTCCTTGTCGCGCGGCGTTTTCGTGAAGAAAACGAAGGGCAAGTGATTGAAGTCACGCGTCTGCGACACGCGCGACACACACGCGCCTTCGATCGAGCGAGCGAGCGAGCGAGCGAGCGAATCGAATGACCACGGGGGGGTCCACGCGGATGGCGTTTACGCTCGGGACGCGGCGTGGAGTCCGGACGACGCGACAGACGGGTACGGTTGAATGACAGCGGCGACAAACGGCGAATCGATCGCGGCCGAGATCTCTGTCTGGCTTGAGCGTGGGGTGTCTCGTGTCGTGACTCTCTCTCTCTCTCTCTCTTTCTCTCTCGTAAACATCGACGACTCGTCGCCCCGGTTATCTCGGTCGAACAGGCACAGACGGTAACACGTTGTTCGCACGCGCGACGATGAGGACGATGCACCACGTACCTTGTACCGCACCGATCTGCTCACCGCTCGCGGCGGCTGCCGCCGTCGCGGCCGCCTCGGGCGCGGCGCAGTTCATTTTACGGGTACGTGCCGGGTATGTTCGTTATATCCGGGTATTACGTAAAAGCGTCCCTCCTGGTCGCAGTATACCTCATGTTAGGGGGATCGAACCGAGACTACTATCGCGTCCACGTCTCTGCACACACTGCACTCACGTCAACGGCCATATTGATACTGGCGCTTGGCGTAAATACCGCGAGAGAGCGTGCCCTGCGCCCCTCCGCCGCCGACCGGCGCTTCGGTTCTTCCCTCTCCCTCAATCTTTCTCTCCCCCTCCCCTCCCTGCGCGTTGTTCAATGCCTTCTTTTTCTATCTGTTATCCGGCATTTGTCACGACGCGCTCTGTCTCGTAACGATGATATTTCTCTTTCTCTCTCTCTCTCGCGCTCGCTCTATTCCTCCTCCCCCCTTTTCGACCCCTTTTCTTTCGTCTCTCTTCGCTTCTCTCTTTTCCTCTTGGTTCGTCGCTACGATTTCTGCGACACGCGAACGCGTCGGCCTCATACTAGTCATACTGTCGCGAGGACGCGCCGCGGCGTTGCCGCAGCGCGGCGACGGCGGCTAGCTATCGATGTCGGGCGCATTCGAAACTTCGATACTCGCCGTTCTCTTTCTCTCTCTTCCCCTCCTCTCTCTCTCTCTCTCCCCTTTCTCAGGCGCGCGCGCGCGCGTCTCATACCTCGGCACCGTTAGTCTCTCGCTTCCTCTCTTCTCTCTCTCTCTCTCTCTCTTTCTCGGGGTTTACTAGCGCCGGTAGTGCGGGGGTTCCAGAAATGAATGGCTGATTCGTCGGCCGCCCAGGTAACCCGGCCAATGGAAGCGCGTTGCACGCGCGGCGCGCAAATCACGAACCGAGGACACCGTTATCCCTCCCCCGCGGCGGGCCCAATCAGATACGAGCAATTAAGTAATTGCGGCGCACGGGGCACACGCGCGCTAGCCTACTATCCAGCCGCCTAGCCTAGAGATGGTACTCAAATCCAATACCCGCTCGCAATTTTCGAGCGAGCGCCGGAGTGCTCTCTCGCTCTCTCCCTGCTGAATGGATATCGATACGCACTTCGGGAATATTAACATAGCCGCAAGACGCGCGCGAGAATTCGGGCGAGCATCGGAGAGCGACTCGATCGATTCGGAGCGGAGTCGACGGACTGTGTTTTGAAATCGCGCGCTCTCTCGCATAATCGGGGCGCGTATAAGCGTGTGCGAGCGCACGCCACTTTTCCCACCAATCCCACGCCGTTGTATCGTTGACCATGCAGTAATGACTTATGAGTTGGGAAAAATGGAGGGTGGGAAGATTGGGGAAGGTAAAAAGGCGACATCCGTTGTCCCAACAGTTTCACCCTATCGAAAGAGGGAATGGTGGCCCTTGTTGACTCGCTCTATGCTCTCGTTGACTCACGTCGATTCGAATAGCAAACAGATTCAAGGATTAAGAAAAGTCATTAAAATTAATGAAAATGATTGAGAAAAGCTGGATCCAAAAATTTAAATCGAATTCGCTGCAATATAGTGATTCTATATGCAATCGAAAATAATGTGAAATGATACTTTAATATAGAGGCTTTAACAGAGTCATTTAAGTGTGTGTTTAATGCAAAATGGAGAGAAAAGTCTTCCGAAACACAAAAATGGCACAATCGATATCAACAGCCGCTTGAGCGCTTTGTGTTTTTAAGACCGTAGCTGCCTTCGAAATCACGTTTGGATTTGCGGGTATCCCGGGTTCAATACCTCGCGCCTGAGCGAGGTCTGTATGCCGGGCGAGATCGTCGGGGCCGCCGCGCCGCATTCAGAGTGCGATGCACGCGCGGAATATTCATACGTTTCGCGGGTCCTCCGCGGCACGGGAGCAGCGCCGCCGCCGTCGCCGTCGCCGTCCGCCGCCGCGCCGCTGCCGCCACGCCGCCACCGCCGCCACCGCCACCGCCGTCACCGCCGCCGCCGCCGCCTGCCGCGCGCGATTCGCAATCGATCCGCCCGCGGATCCTCGCGATTGCGTCTCGTTCGGCTCCTACGACACGTGCGCGCGAATACGCGAGGATACGCGGGACGCGCGCATGCACGTATAGGATGTTTGATGGATGCCGACCCGGGAAGCGCGTACGCGAGTCGAATATTCGCAATACGAGCGCCGCCACCGATGGCCCGCTTGTTGCCGGCCCGTCATTCGTCATCCCCGGCCGGTCCTCGCGACTCGCGCGAATACTAAATTGCACAGCCGCGAGCCGACGAGGCTGCCCGCGCTTGCACCTGCCCTCGCGCCCTCGACTCCTCGCGTCGCTCGCTTTCATCTGGAAATAACCGAATCCGCGGACGCGAAAATTGATTTGAACGCGGAACGATTGTTCGCTACCGCGGCGGCATCGATTTGCGCGTTTACGCTGACTCTATTTTCGAACGCACGTGTACGTCGCGTCGGTGTCGCCAGTTGCGACGCCGCCGTCGAATTTTATATAAATCGATCGGAAATCGGTGTTCCTGCGCGTTTGCAATTTGTTAGCAAAAGTTCTATTTGAAATTAGTTTAAACATTTTTTTTTCTATATAAAGCTTTTTTCATTATTATCTCGTATGTTTAGATGTCTAGAAGATGACTTTTCGAGGGACTTTTAGAATTAGAAGTAAGGTCAGAAAGCATAAGAGAGCATCTCCTTTCGCAAGCACTTCACGACGGCCGTGCGCTCGCCCGATTTTGACGTTCTCTCGTTTATCATCGAGATCGCATTCAGCGTAAACATGGAATGGGGGTCACAACCGTATTTGGTGCTGAGCGTACGGCCTGCATACGAGAATAAGCCTCTCGATAAAGTCAATGGGCGAATCTCGTTTCCGAGCTCAAGTACATACTTCGTCTTTAGATGTGTATATGTTTTATATATGTACCGTTGGACGGGATTCGCATCTCCGGGATACGTTTTCGAAAAAGACTGTAAAAAGGAAACGCCCGTCTTATCTTATCATCTGGATTAAATATGTTCTTCATATTTTACAAGCGTCAAGCAAATTTCTCGCGTACGCCCGTGAATGTCAAAGGTCGGTGGCGGCACCGGGAAAAGTAGAGAAACCGCCTACGCGTGCGGAGGTATATGTTATAAATATATTGAGAAATTGCCGGAGACGCATGAATAATCTGACGATATAATACGTCGGAACAGCGGGGAATCCACACCGTTTTTCGAGCGCCGCGCATTTTTACGTTCAAACATCCCGATATTGGAGCAGCTTCAACTGCACGGCGCGGCGCGGTGGCGCGGCGGCGGCGGCGGCGCGACGGCCAGCGCACGAGTGGCAAGCTTTCCCTTTTTTGCTCGTGTACGGCTCCGTACCTCGCTGCAAGATAGACAGGGTAATTGCAGTGCCGCGTCGGTACGTACGCCGCGTTGTACGTGTATAAAGAGCTTGTTTACCTGGCGGGCAATGGTACGGGGAGGGGACCAGCGTTCCCTCGTTCCGGGCGTGCACTTTGAAAATATCGCTCGAGAGCCATAAGCGTCTCAGACTATCTGCTTTAGGTATACGTCGCCGTTCATATTAAGCGAAAAGCGCCGGGCGCGCGCTTTTCATCTCGGATATACGGCGCAATTGAGAAAAGTCAGCCGACGGAACGGTATAATTGCGAAACGTAACCGCGTTATATCAATAGATTCACGTAGTCGTTCTTACCTTGCGCGAGGATTATGGGGAGTAACTAGCAACTTTAATTTCTCTTGGGAAAAGGAATAAAAATGTATACACATTTTGTCACCTATATGTATATGTATATATATACGCGAGACGTTCCGTTCGAGACTCGGCGTCCTGAGATCGCCACCTGAATTAGCGCTCCCTTCGTTGAAATGCACTCTGCGTTGTTTGCAATTAGACGCGGCTACCTTGATCTTATTCTTAGTCATTTCTCGCGTACGTATACAGCGAAAAAAAAAGTGAATTTTAATGACTCTAAGAATTTAATCATATTCAATATCGTACGTGGCAATCGTATTCGAATAATAAATGTGAGCGAAATGATCTTCATCATCAAGCATTAAACGCGCGCTTATGCAGCTCTCTTTATGCAGCTCTTAACAGCCTTATTTAGACCCCTTACATATAATAACCTAATTAGAATAATTGTCCAATATAATTTAGCCGAGCTTCGAGAACCTTCTTTGAAAAAATTAACCCTCTTTAAAATATATAACTTTAACCTACTTGCGCGAAATAAAAGTAGCCGGTGGTCTTTCTAAAAGCAATTACTGGAAGCAATTTGCTCGTACTTTCAGGGCGTACTGTAAATTAGCCGCGGCAAGAGTGTACCGGCGTCGCATGTGACGTGCACGGTACACGTAATTTCCTCGTCGATTATGTTCCAGCGGCATAACAGCGCTTCTGTCAGTTTCCTGCCCGCGCACACGGTACGAGACCACTTGGGCCGGTCGTGAAGAAGGGCTCCGGAAGCCCCGTGGAAAAGGGCCGGAAGTATCCTCCAGGCGGGAAGAGACCAGACCTACGACATCGCTCAAAGGACCATTCCCCTCCTCCGCTCTCGCCCCCTTCTCGAGCTCGTTACCGCCGAACCGTGTCCTGAAGTATAGCACCACAAAGCGAAGTACAACTCTCGACCACACGCGGTCCGCTCGACAAGCACGTCCGTAGAGCCGCCCAGAGCACCCCGTGTGTCATCAAACATCAACGACGTCGACAATCACGACGACATCGACGACGGTCAACAACAGCGACCACTGTCCAACGACTCCCACGCCAAATCCCATCGACCTTTCCAAGTTCATAGGAAGCGCGGCGCACGTCTAGCTACGAATAGAGGTAAAGGAAAAGGTCGATTCGAAAGATGGAGAGAGAGAGAGAGAGAGAGAGAGAGAGAGGAAAGAGAAAGAGAGCGAAACCGCATTTATCGATACTACTGGATGCAACGATCCTTCCCCAAAGAGCGTACAACGACTCGGAGTATATACAGAGTGCTCCGGGCATTGAGTCAGGATTAAAAGAAACGGCGTATACGACGCTCGCGTATGAAAGCAGACGAGGGGTGAGCTAAAGAGAAAGAAGAACAGGCGAGAAGGCCGAGAGAGAGAAAGAGAGAGAGAGAGAGAGAGAACGCGGAGAAACACGGGGACGGAGAGGCACTCGCGAACGGCTGCGTCCGTCGCGCCTGCGCCTCTCGTCGGAAAGCTCCGGCTCGTTCTCTCGGTCCTCGTCGGTCGTAGCCGTGATCCTCCGTTCCGCCGGTGTCGCCCACCTCGGGCTCAGTGAGCCGGTGTGTGAGCGCCGCGACGCCTAGAACAGCATTATCGTCGCCGGAGTTTTCGTTGCCGTCGTCATCGTCGTCATCATCGTTGTCATTCTCCTCATCATCGTCGTTCCCATCGGCGTGGATTTGGCGACGATTCTACGTTTCCCCTCGTTCCTGTCATCGTCGTCGTCATCGTCGTCGTCGTCGTCGTCATCGTCGTCGTCGTCGTCGTCGTCGTCGTCGTTGTGGTCGTTCTCGATCGAGCGCCGTCTGTCCTCGTCAACTCCGTGATCACCGTTTCAACGTCGTTTACATCGTTGTCATCATCATCGTCATCAACTCGCTGCTCTCGTGGTGCTGGCACTATTCGGGAGGCACGCGACTATCCCGAGCGGTTTCCGTGCGCGAGTCGCAGTCGCCGCGGGAAGAGAGAGACGGGACGAGTGCAGTACTACCACCTCGTTCCTCCCCCCCTTTCTCCATCACCTCTCTCGCTCAATCTGTCTCCTCTGCACCTTCGCTCTTTCTCCTCCCACTCTCCCTCATCGCCTCTCTCTGTCTCTTTCTCTCTCTCTTTCTCTTTCTCTGTATATGCACGCTCTCGCCCTCTGCTGTACCCCTTGCCGCCACCATTGCCGTCGTCGTCGTCGTCTTCGTCGCCGATCTCGTCGCTCTCTCTCGTTCCCACGATCACGCTCGCCCTTCGCACAACAACGCCACGCCGCTCGTACCGTGCACCGTGCTCGGCCACCGTACCACCGTCGCCGTCTTCTCCTCGACTCCGCTTTCGGCTCACGTGCTAAGCTACACGGACACACGGCGCACCTACTACGAAACAGATCTCGATTTCACGTTCCGCAAGTTCTCCCGTCGTCCGTCGCCCCGATCTCTCTCTCGACGTCGAGAGACGACGGCCGCGCAGCAGGGGCGAGTGCAACGGCGAGCGAGAGCGCAAAGGATAGAGAGGAGGAGTGAGTCCGAAGGAGCGAGAGGGAGAGAGAAAGAAAGAGGGGAAGACTGGGATACGCGACGCACAGAAGAGGACGAAGGATGGTGTAGACGCCGTGGCGTCGTGTCCGTCGTGCCCGCGGGACCTCCGAGGTGGACATTCGTGTAAGAAAATGTACTCGCGTGACGGTCCTTAAACCTCGCCTGAAGCGTGCATTCTCGTGTATAGAGAGGGTACGACAGAAACAGGAGTGGGAGAGAGAGGGAGAGAGAGAGAAAGAGAGAAGCCGGGGCGCCTGTTACCGGCAGGGAGGGCGTTAGAGCGAGAACGCGGGAAAACAGGGAGAGAGGAGAGAAAGAGAGATAGCGAGAGAAAGGGATAGTCGGTGGCGAGCGGGGAGAGATAGAGGGGTGGCTGGGAGGGGAACATACGACAGAGAAGATAACGATGCTCGAACGTGATGCTATGCACGTCCGCGAGGGTTGTTCCGAACGACGACGGTAAACCGAATGATCATTTGATTCCTTTTGGATTGCGTGATATACGTATAACGCGCGGTGCCATGCCACGTTCCGCGACGCGGTGCGTGTCGCTGCGAGCGCGCGCCTTGCGGACTTTGCGCGACGGCGATCAACGGCGTCGGCGGGTAGCGGCAACCCCGACGAGGGTATGTCAGGCCGACACGCTGGTCCCGTCCCGTCCCGTCTCGGCTCGGCGCGGCTCGCTCGCTCGCTCGCCCGCCCGCGACGCCCGCTCGTACTTGCGATCAGTCTTGTTCGATGTTCTGCATAATCGTACTCGTCACACGCTTGCACGCAATTTACTGTTGGTGTATATTTGCTATTTGAGATGATCGATGTATGCACGTTGATGGTGTTGTTGTCCGGCGCCGATTTGATATCTCTTGATACACGATAATGACTCGTACTCGCGTCGCCGATTAATCGCCGTAAATTAGGATCCAAGTGCATACCGGAAACGCAGAGGATTCGAAAGGAATTTTATCCTCGTGTTAAACTTTATTTTTATAAATCCTGTATAAATCTTTAGATATATTTATTTATCTCTCTCACAATTTTTTCTATTTTTCTGGCACTTGGATCTTTTTCAATTTACGGTATTCATTTAGCACTGCGTTTACCGTTGAATGTTGCCGTTCAAGTTCTAAGTTTTATGTACAATACGAAGATTGCATTCGATGTGTAACGTCGTGGGATGAGCATCAGATAGATTTAACGTTAAATGTGCGGTGTGAATACGAATTGATGGATGTAACTCTCTGGTATCCCCGATGTATAATTTCCTTGCAATATGAATGCATGTATCTGTATGGATAGCTTTCATATGAAAGGAATCAAGTGCCTTTATGTTAAAACCGAGAAATAGCTTCCTATAGACTTGTTTATAGAGAAAACGATATTTTTGTACTATAAGAACAATTTATATGGCATAGCAGTGCACGCTTCAACTTATCTAGTAAACTAATTAATAGAGTAATATATATAATGTATATCTATAAATGTAATTTGCGTTTATATAAAGTCGTCCACAATTTAAACATTCAAGTAGAAATATGTGTCACGCATTTTGTAAACTGAACACTTTCTCATCTGTTCGTCGCGAATGATAAATAATAAAGATTTTCGTTACCCTTAATGTTATGTCGTTTATCGATTTCATTAGAAGATATAATAAAAAATTTGCCATGACCTGTTGATTTGACCATTTGCCACAAAAAAAGTTCCTCCGTCATAACTCCAGAAAAGTTCATCAATAACGCAGCCGGAGACGCGTATAAGGAAATGCATTGTACGGAAATAAAGAAAGTTGTATGCACATAAACTCGGCATAAAAAACAAATAGAAAACAAGTTGATAATTTTTAATAATTAAATACCATTTGTTTGTATAAATTCGCAAAGGTGTGACAAGTCTAGTAACAATTTATTTGCTTATCTTTTCCACAAAGAGAGACATCGGAGAAGGTAAGCAAATAACTTGAAACTTAACTCGCTTCCCTATTGGCTTAATTGCAGTGTTATTTATTACAATTTAACAATAATTAGTGTTTTAATCGATGGAATTTAACTTTTATATGTGGTATACACACACTATGTTTTTGACCTCTACACTGTTAAATCTGTACACGGAGAGAATTTTCTTTTAAAATTTACCCTGAAAATCATGTTACTTGTGAGACAATACAGTATTTAGGTAAATTTTACTGTGCACTACAATAAATTTTACTGCGAAATCTTATTGTAGTGCACAGTAAAATTTGTCTAAATACTATATTGTCCCATAATTAACATGATTTGCAAGGTAAATTTAAAAAAAAATTCTCTCCGTGTAGTGTCAAGCTAAACCTTATTTAAGTCGCCACTGCTTCTACTTAATAAATAGTCATTTTTTACTAAAACAATGGAGTTAAAACAGTTAATAATAATTTAAAACAGTTTAAATTTAACCCAAATTTAGGTTAAATTCTATTGTTTTATTTAAAAGTAACTATATTGTTTTATTTAAAAATAACTATTTATTAACTAGGTGCAGTGACGACTTAAATAAGGTTCAATTTGACAAAATAAATTTAACAATATATCCTCTTAAATCTTTTCTATTTTTGTCAGTCATATTAGAATGTCTTATCGAAGTAAGCATCGGGCTTTTTTTAGCGTTAATACAATATAGGATGATATATGATTATCTTCCATTTTCTGAATGTTCTAGTACATAAAATCGAACGATAAAAATGAAATGCTGAAATGACATATCACACAATCAATTTGTTTCTCAATACACTTTCTAGAAAAAAGACAAATTTTTTATCTAAGCACTTAAAATTTACAAAGATGATAAGTTTCAATCATGCTGTATATACAATTCATTAACGCTAAAAGGCTGATGGTATCTGAACCTGAATATTTCCCTCGTGGCTTATGATGCTTCGTATTAGTCGGAAAAAATAACTGCTAAATTTGTACAGAAACATTCGTGTGCATGTGAACTTCTGTAAGCGTAGTGTGGTAAATTATAAGAAGCTGACAGAAGCTTTAAATAATAATGACATAACTTTTTTTGTTCTAAAAAAAAGTATAGCGTATAAAAAAATAAGAACATAAAGAGAAATAAATATAAAGAGAATTTATTGAACATCTTACAACTCTCGTACTCAAGGAATGACAGCTTCTTACAATTTTCAATTCCACGGGAGTCACGCACATGAGGAGAGGGGGAGAGGTATTGAAAATATCGTGAGTGCCGAAGTGCAAATATGAAAATAAAATAAAAGCAAAGATCGGATAACAAATTTTAATTTTAAGATTTTAATAGATTATAATAGAAATTTTAAGATGTAACGCGCGGAAAGATAATCTGAAATGCACAATACGAGACGAATGTGAGGTAGCCACGAAAATTTCTCGAGGCTCTTAATAACGTGAGACCAGGCGTAACGTATCTGCAAAATGGCACTCATCTCAAATGTAGCGCGCGATGTAACCGGATATAATTTCGCGGCGAACTCGCGCGCGTACACTCGCGAATGATTCATTCGGCGCGTTTACACGACGTTGGGCGAGGAAAGGCGACTATTTTCGGCGCGGATTCGGATAGCGCTCGTTGCGGAACGGGACGCTTTTAACGGCTCTTACGGCGTTAAAACAGGAAGCTGATACCGACGTATCACCGTTATCGTATAATATGAATTTATATGACAATGCCTTTCTATTACGGCCGACAATGGCGGCGGCGGCGGCAGCGGCGGCGACGGCGCGGTGGTGGTGTAATATTACCAAGTCGCCCCGTTGTAATGTATAGCCGTATGCGCTCGGCTCTCTCTCTCTCTCTCTCTCTCTCTCTCTCTTTCTCTTTCTCCGCGGACCATAAAGCGAATAATATAGCTCGCACGCAAAATGAAATATTTCAATTGCGGGACTCGCGTTAATTGCGCTCGCGCGGGCGCGGCGTTTCAATTATCGTAATGAATTACGGCGAACGCGAATTCCGTTGACGCAAGCGCGAAGCCCGCGGCCGCGAGAGCGCGGACACCGGTGCTGGATCTCCGTCGCAACCGGTCTACTCGATCGATCTCAATCCGAACGTGGCGTTCGAAAGCGCGCGTGGAATATAATGAATATGTAAATATTCGACGGGGTGCACGGGGCACGTTGTCGCTTGTAAATAGCGGGGTGCGTGTAACAGGTGGTGTGCTCTCTGTCTCGCCCGGCGTCGCGTCGGTGTCGTCGCTCGTCACTCTCGACAATGGCACATACAGGCCGGCGGCGGACCGCGACGATGTAGCCCCGTCGCGATGGACATGGGACGTGGACCTTCGGCCCTCAATCGGCGTCACCGACGACGTCGTACACGCGAACGACGCTCCTCGCGTATTCATAGCCCGCACTGTTCACCAGCGCGAATTCGTACGTCCGTTCGTTGGTTCGCCCGTGCGTATCTCTCTTGCACGTGTAGCATGTGCGCGCGCGCGCGCGTATGCATGTGCATGTCAAATACACAGGACGCACGTGTACCTATATGCGGGGCCCGCGGGCGCGGAACGTGCACAGCGTGGGCAATAAAAGTAAACGGCGCATTTTCGCGATCGCTCGTTACCGCGCGATAAAATTTACGCGCGCTATAAATAATTGCAACAAATACCGCGTATATAATGGTTTCTTTTCTCGAATGCTCGCCCTCCCCCCCCCCCTCCTCGCTCGCCGTTTGCCTGCTATAATAAAATTGTCTGAATTTCGGGATCGCCCGGTTGAAATTGCCCCGATTACTTGTTAAGACTTCGGCGAAGCTTATTATAAAGTCGTCCTTACAAAGAAACCTTTCCAAGTCAAAGAGCTGTACAAAGTTCGATCTCGCGGTTTACGGACGGCATGCGAATTTACGCAGTTTATAGGACACGGAAGGTTTCTTTTAAAGGAATTTGTTTATGGAAATCAAAAGTGAGAGATGTAATTAGGCGATGCGAGTAGACTGCCAAGTGCAAAATTAGTCAACCGCATGTAAGCAAAAATTCATACAATTTGTTCTGATCAATTTATGAATTTATTAAAGTTACAAAGTCAATTGCAATGAACTCGTACCGTTCACGCTTTGAAGAGAAGATTTGTGCTTGAATGTTATAATGCTCGAGACGATCGAAGGGCAAACGGGAAAAGGAAATGAAAAGATACTATAAAACCAAGGTGCGGCTTTTGAAAGGTACATTGAGCAGTAGAGAGTGCTTCCGGTTTGTATAGTTTGAAGTAGAAAAATAATGGGGCTTCGATACGAGTTCGTACTATTCATGTCTTGAAAAAAAAAAAAAAAACAAGCCGAGACGCGCGCGCGCGCGCATCGTGTTTCCTCTGTATGTGTGTTCTGCATGCAGGCTCGCCTAATTACGCCATCGCGAAGGGCTTCGCTTTTGAATCACACACCGTCGCGTTGACCTTCGGGTCTCTCGACGAAACGATCGGCGGCACGTGATATGACGTGGCGATCGATATCTTTATGCCGCCCCGGCATGCATTGTGTGAAAGGCGTGATCTTTCGCAGGGCTCGCTCTACATCCCGCAGGCTACTGTCGACTGCAACGTAATCGTCCCACGAGTTCGCCCTCGGCCTCACCATCGCCGGTCCATCATCGTACCTGCATTGTCGCCCGCGCTGCAAGATGAACGAACGATCCGAGGGGGAGTACGTAGTGCGTACGGCGCGCTGTAAGACGACGAGATGAAATCGCGCGGTGTTATTAACCGGAAGATTCGAATCGATTCGCGTCGCGTCGAGTAATCCCCGATGGTGGTGGTGCGCGGCTTGATAATCATGATAAGTGAGCGCGTTCTTATCGCGACGTTAATGAAACACGTGTGCGAGACGCGCGTGTGATCGCGCGCATCGATTTGACTGGCCGCACCGGATCCCACGTGTACAAGCACGGACGCATCCTTCGAGGAGCAGATCGCTCTCCAGTGACCGGTGAGTACTGCTTCACTCACTATCAAGTGCCCTTTGTCAGTGGCGTCTGCCTAGTTGCGGGCAAACCGACTGGCACTTCTGGAAGACCCGAAGGATGTGGAAGCCTCTCTGAAGCATCTCTTTCTATCTCGCGAAACAATATTGTCGGCCAATTGAAGCGTATTGATTTACTTTTGTTTAACCAACAACCATCATTTTATAAACAGGAGTACAAACAGTTACTCTATATTATTTAAGAAAGTCGGTTATTCAAATATTATCTCGGTTATATCTCATGCCTTCAAAGACGGCTATGCAGACGGCGCTATACTTTGGGTGTATATATTTTAAAATAAATGGAATCAACAATCACATTGAGAAAAGTTTGATGGAATACGGATATACATAAAAACATGGCACATTTTCCTGTCATAATTTTTAGATCAAAACGATTCATCTTCCTTTTGTAATGTTATGTTATCTAAGTTATAACCAAAACGATGCTTCCGAAACTTATATCCTGATTCCACCCAACTCTTCAAGTAGAAGATGTTATCGAGGATAAAACTTTTTCATTCATTCGTTTGAAACTTCTACTCTCTCTTATGAATTATTCAGTATATAGAATAACATATACAAGTTTATCGCGCGTCATCAAGATATGCGCGGCAACTTCTTTCGTAAAGTATATAATAAAAATATAAATAATACGCGCGTGAAGGGATTCGAAATATATCCTATTTTACATACATATATATATATATATATATATATATATATATATATATCAAATATGTATCACTTTATATCACAAATGTGACGATGATATTCTCGCCATGTGTGATTGGAATAATAGAGTGAAATCGTGTTGATAAGGTTTAGTCTTTCGACGTTACTCTGTAAATTTTATCACAGCGAGATTGTGAAAGTCGTTTCTGTTCCCAACATCGTTCGACGCTTTACTCGTTCGTTTCATCGCGGAGAAGCTTATTTTCTTGTACGAAAAAGTAAATGTTATCCTTATCGATCGAGTAAGGGCCGAACGTGCATCGATGCGATCTTTGCGATCGGAACGAATTGCCGCAGTGGCGATTCGATATGCCGCGGCTTACATGAAACACCAATACAATGCCGAATGTAATGCGCGTTAAGCGCGGCCCCGTGTTGCGTATATCTTGACGACGGAATGCAATGAATGAAGGCACCGCAATATCCGCTCATGCCGGTGGAAGTCGTAACTGCCGGCGTGCCCGCGCTATTACTCCTCAATGGTCGACCGCGGTTAATTGCGAGGCAATATTCAAAGTAATTCTCGGTCCCCGGCAAGAATACGGCCTAATTGACTTGTAAGCCAACGCGTTCGATCGGCGGCTGATTGCAGACGGAGAATAAGCGTTTCACCGTCTGCGAAAGACCGATATTGCCCGCGCTCACGAGAACGAGTCGATTCTTGGTACTCCGAGTACCCGAGGATCGTAAACCGCCTCTGGTGTTTTCGTGGCACGGAACTACCCCGAAAATCGTCGCAACCATTACGATCGTTAGGTAATAACGTAATACAGCGAGAGCGCAAAGAAGCCGCAAACGTTGCAGGGACGCACAAACGCGAAACGGCACTTCTTACCAATTCCGTAAAAATGCCATCTCGGATATAATTGTCAGGCGAGATGAGGTATGTATATATATATATATATATATATATATACTTGCCATTTTGCCCATTTTGCTACCGGTATTCAATTCCGAGCGGGGACTGCGAGAAAGCATAATTAACGCCGTCGGATTGTAAATTCACTCTAGTATAAATATTTGCATCTCGGAACTCCGCGCACAAAGCCTGCATACATTTGAATATATCTTCTTTCCGCGGAGATTCCGCGGGTGCACCGCATATCGGTGATACGACTAACATCGAGCTCGGCCGGGCTTATTTCAATCTCCGTAACTCGCGACGTTGATCTTCTTGGATCTACAAAATTAAAGCGAATCGACCAAGTGCGGCGGAGTCGAAGAAACGTAAAGAAAACGAAAACGAAAAACGAAGCCGAATCTTTAATATTTTTATGCCTTGAAAACAGCACATAATATGGATTGTTGAAATATCATTAAGGCGTATATAGGAACGATCTCTACGAAAAACACGAGAGAAAACATTTGAGAAAATTTGCTTAAAAAAGTTGCTATCTCCTATCTTTCTTATCTTAATTTTCTAATACTTTTATATCCTCATATTAGAAGGGTATATTTATGGTATTCTGTTTTCAGTAACTCTATATAATGCATCGTTCTCGACAATCACTCTGTAATACGCTATCCTGTATATAGTGCATCAGTCTGTGTTTCGCTAATTTGTAGATTATTTAATTCCATTGTGATTTAACGTACGCCTTCCGCCATTTTCGAAATAAATGGTTCATTTAATTCCCGTAATTTCTGTAATTGTCGTAATTTTCCAGTGGCCCGCACCGTCATTCGATTATCGATGTAACGAATTTGCACGCGAATCGACTTTAACCCTTTGTGGCGCGACGTAATTTCGAGAAACGGTTCGACATTTAAAAATCCCTTTTTATTTTGATGACAGCAGCATTTCCTAATGTAATCATCTTCCGACGGTTTCGACGTTATGTAAATATTCGTCGAATAATTGGCAACTTGTGGTTGATTACAATGTCTGCAAATTATCATAAAGTACCGAAGTGAATTCGTTGCCGTATAATATTGCCAAAAGTTCATCCTCACGCAGAGAATTTCGCGATTCTACGTATTTTCACCTGAAAGCTATCGATCGACAATACGCAGCGGTAATATGAAACGTTTCACTTCAAACGCCCGTTTTAATCCCTATTATTTCTCAGGAATTGAAACCGATGTGATTTCGATGGGATTAGACACTCGACGCTCTATCGAGACTCCACTTTTTCGCGACAAAAGAAGACAACGACGATCGGCGTCGTCGGTATGTCTTTTCGTATATCCGTAGGTAGGTGATCGAACTCTCCGAAATTACGACTTTATTTCAATACTCGCGAAACTTAGACGAGCGAATAAGACGATTCACAAAGCGCAGACAGATATAGGCCCGTGAGTCGAGGGTTTCAAGCAAACGCGGTCTCGAGCGATGAGCGAGCAGAGTCAACGAACTTCTCCTCGCGTTTACGTAACCCCGGTCGTGTAAACATATCGATCCCTGCGGGGGCATGTGCGCATTGTAGCTTTATTTCGTAGCGGAGTCGCCCGGTGTATACCGGCGATGAGACTGCCGGGGAGGGTCAAGTTGACCCTCGTCCTCGCGTCCCTTTGTCGGGACCGTCGCGAACGATCGCATTCCGATTCGCACGTTACGCGTTACGCGTTCCAATTGGACGCGTCGCGTAAAAAAGAGGAGCGCGTTCACAATCGACTAAATATTCTCAAGCGACCGGCGGGAATTTTTGTTTCAGCCCGCGCGAGAGGAATTCCTTTTCGCGATCACGCGCGAAAAACGTCGCGAGTAGAGTTGCCATATTAAAATTTTCAAAACTAGAACATACAAACCAAAAACCCAGACGTTTCGTGTGCAACCCCGAACGCATATAAAAAAAAGTGCGTGTAGCAGGTTAGCGGCTCGTTTCTGAATAATTACAGTGGTAGGAGTCAAAATATTTAGATTTCCTAAAAGTCCTAAAATTCCGGACGTTCATAACTATCTTGGATGCCTTAAAAAAGAGGACAGTGACCGGGAAAAAGAGGACGGATGGCAACCTAGTCGCGAGAGATCGCGCGCGTCAGAGCGCGGATATATCAGCGTTCTTTGCCTGTCACGTTCACGTTTCTTGTTTCGTCGTGATTGTCACGCGGTTTCCATCCTACACTTGTTCTAATTTCTCGACATTTCAATGAATGAGAACCTCGAATGTTTCTAGCTAATGCAATAAACTGTTAAAAATATATAACAAATTAAAATAAGACAAGTGACAAGTCAATTAATTAAAATACTGATACATGAAGCGATAAATGTGAAGAATTATTTCTCGCAAATAAACTTAACGCAAACGAAACTTTTATTTTCCAAATATTCTATTTCTTCACTTGTCCTAACTTATTTTAATTCTTTCAATAGAATGTGCCATATATACGAATATCAACAGATTTTTTTTTAAAAGAAAGATATAATTAATTTCATTTCCCTTGAGTTAAATTTAAAAAGCGAAATTTCGGCAAGCATTATTCTGAGCTAATGTTTCTGACACATATGGAGAGCTTGTTTCCAAGTTGTCGTGAGTCCACATTTCAAAAGATCGAGCTTACGTATCGCAAAATCTTTCTCATGGTTGAAAAGTTGACAACCATGATGCTGAGAAAGTTACTCACCGAGTTCGATGCTCTGTGCAGGCGTTCGATGGCACGTGTCGCGGTGCGTCCGCGTCGTGGCCGCCAACGTGCGCGTTCCGAATGTTCCGATGCGTGGATGCGTATTCGACGACTCGCGGACTCGTCGTCGTTGTCGCACCGTCGTCTCAGGAAACGAGCGAGCCTTTTTCAAGATCCTCGTGACAGTACGTTCTTTGAACACTCACCAACGCACATATACCCGTAATTTCGCCGTCATCTGTTGCCCCGCGTGGGCTGTACGAATATCGATTCGTTGTAACGGCTCTTCCTTTCCGGTGTCCCGTTAATTGTGTCAAACGGCCACAGGCACCGCGCAAAATTCTTTTCGAACAAAGACGTCCATGCTCGCCGTGTGATCGAATTTACGCCGGCGAGCGCGATGCGGTTGAGAGACTCATCGTCGATCCATTGACGCCGGGATTCGACGAGCAAATTGCGATTATTACTAATGAGGACAGCGACGAAAATATTTACGCTCTGAGACGTGATCTTCGTGCCTAACTAATTAAACGCCACCTGCCACGGGACGGGAGATTATGACTAATTATTAACTTCGTTAAGCATTAATCCGCTTTCCGCGATTGGCAGTCATTAACACGAGTTAATTAGTCAACCGCTGTTAGTTGTCAACAAGATAGATACAGTGA